GGCTCACTCTCACAGCACTCAGCGCGTTGACTGGTGGTGGCTCCAGTGCAAGGGGTGTGGCTCTGGGGGTTCAGGCAGCCCCCACCTCCCTCAGAGCTGCAGCAGCACCCAGAGCTGGGGCCACAGAAGGAAGGGACTGGAGGGGGACGTGGGTCTGGGCACTAGGTCAGGCTCCTGGGTGTGAACTTAGAAGAACATTTAGGGGTGGGGCACCTTAATAGGCCCTTGGGAGGGGGCCCACTGCTGACAGGACATCTCAACTGGAGTCCAAGCAAGTTAAAGCAGTTCAAATGAAACTAAAACCAAATAAAATGCATCAAGCATAGAATAAGAAGTTTTCAAACCATTATCACTGTGCTAGTAACATGTTTGTGAAATGTACTCCCATTCCAGAACAAAAGTCCCATAAACGTGTGCAATTGGCATTTAAGTTCTGTGCACAGAAAGTCTGCTATGTACAAAAATCAGTTTGTCACTATTTTATGCATATGCCTGTGAAATGAACTCACAATTAGGCAGAGGACCATCTTCTTTAGTGGCATCAAGCATATGTGGGAAATCTGATGTCCAGGGAACAATCAATAGAGACTCGGAGGAGCTGCTCCCTTTCCCTCTGGCCTCAAGGACTGTGCTCCCCAAGGCTGAACCTTGTGGTCCCCAGAAATCTCACTGTGCTTCATCCCCTGACCCCTCCTCCTTACTCTGTCCTATTCTGTCATTTGCCACATCTGGAATATTCTCCAGACCCTTCTCCATGAAACCCAGAGCCTTCCCTTGGGCTTGCACAGACTCACTTATCAGGGCCAGACTCAAACGTAGCTTGAAGAAGTTCCTGAAGTGTCAGAGAGGATGAGAAAGAAGGGCCAGGGAAACCATTGATAGGGAATCCCCAAGGCTGTCTCTGCGAGCTGCAAGAGCAGCTCTTATGCAGCCGAGGAATGAGAGAGGCCACTGCCAACATTCCCCATCTCCAAGACCCCTCCTTCCCAGGAAGACACAGTGGTGCCCACCCTTCTCACTAGTGCCCAAGACCCGGAGGGGACTTCAACAAGTCACACCATGTCCTGAGATGAACCTCAGATGGCCTGAGATTTCCAAGAAGCTGGTCGTTGGGCTGAGGTCCCAAAGCCCTGGATCACCGTGTGCCAGTCTGTTCTCTGGAGATGGAGATCACAATTTTCATTCCAGGCTCTATGAGGTGGGGCATAGAACGGGAGGAACAGGAATGAAGGGACAGAGACGTTTAAGAGAAATTCTCAGGAAGAATCTATAAGAGTTGGTACCTCATTTATGTGTACAGTGGAAAAAATGGACAAGTCAAGGATTCTACCAAGATATCAAACCCCGTGCCAGGGAAACAACCATGTGATGGAGAGAGAACACCCACTGGGGGGCATAGATCTGAGGTCCAAAGGAGACCTTGCAGTGAAGAGATCCAGGAGACATTTAGAGATTCCAGCCAGAGGATATCAGTGCCTGAGCCAAAGAGACTAGGAGGCAAGCTCACCTGGCATTCACTATTATTTGTATGCACATCGAATACGTTTGTTTGAATAGCCACGTGTGCCACGTGTTCTGCAGGACCCCAGGAGGACAAGAAGAGGGTTTTTTTTACTCAGCGGCTCTCCCATTCTGATGGGATCCAAACTGTGGAGACTGATACAAATACTTAGACCACTTGTAAATACTCATAACAGGGCGTGCGGAGCAGGGACCACTTATGACATAGCATGGTGTGTGGCACTCATTTCTGGTACCAGGATGGAGAATGAGCACGCCAGAAGGAACTTGGACACCTTAACATATGGTGAAGTGCTTTCCTATCCCCAGCCCTGACAGCTGGGGCAATTAGCTCTTCTGTGCTTGTGTATCCAACCTCCAATCTAAGTATATAATTGTGTGCATGCACGTGCACAAACACACCCTCACATAAACACATGTACAGACCTACCCTACTCTCATTCCATCTTGGTTACAGGCACCTCTTCTCAGAAAATGAGGAAACTCAGATGCCAACAGCCAAGATAGAGTGGACTAAATGCCCACGGATCCCACTGGAAACTAGTGATTCAGGAGATGAGATTCAACACCATCTTCTTTGGATCAGGTGGACTGGTCTCATGCAAAGAATTCCAAAAAGTCCAGTGGACTATGAGCTTCTCAGAGAAGACGTTGGGTCTGATTTCCCTCTGAATCTCAAATTCCTGACAGATGAGTGGAGACATCATGCAATGTGCTAAATGAATGTCCACTTAGCTAAATACTTTGTTCATGTGTTAAATCATTTCACCCTTTACCTGAAAGTTCTTGGCGGGCAGGCTGTACCCCTAAAAACAGATGGTAAGTAAATTTGAGATGGGCACCTCTGGGCTAAGGGGAACTTAGCGGCCATGCACACCCTTCCTTCTACTGGGACCTGTGTCAGGAATGCGTCATGTCTGTTTTGTTCGTGGTTCTACCCCTGACACTAGGACAATGAGCGGCATGCAGTCTGCTCTCGACAGTGAATAAATTAAAGTAATCTGTCTAATCCAGACTCTTCTCTGATGACAAACTGAACTCAACCCCTTATTTAATAGCACTCCTCTCTCCTGTCAGAGGAAGAATCATACTCAGGCCCCACTGAAAGGCAGGCCCAGAGGGATGGATGGATGGAGGAGATTCTTTCCAATTCGAGTCTCTTACACAACCAGCCTAGGGATGGTGGGTACCTAAAAATGACCTAAAAGATAAGCCTGGATTGTGGGAAGGAGTCCAAATGGAGTATTTCCATGATGACAAATGAAAAATAAAAATGCTTTAATCCTAGAGACTCCAGAGGACACAAAGAGTCTTTGTCCAGGCAGTGTCCCAAGTCAAGTCTCCAGGATTCCAGCCTATGGAACATTGTGAGTTGTAAAGTCCTGGTTGATGCCAACCCCCAGGGATGGAGGGCAAGAGCCAGAAATGTAGAAATAACCCAGCCTGTGGTCGTTAGGTAGAAATAGATGTTAGGGCAGTGTTGTGTATTTTCTTCGATCGTTGCCCAGCTGCAACAAAGAATTATAGGGCAGAGACACAGTAGTGAAGCAGAGTAAAGTTTTATTTAAAGTTACTTAAAGAGAGAAGTGCACCACGCAACCTCAGCAAGGAGAGGTGCCCTGAAACGTTAGAGAGGGAAAGTTTAAGGTTAAAAGGTTACACACTTAGAAAATGTGGGTGACCTCAGAGAGAGGAGCTCCCCCTGAAAGGTGGGAAAGAGTTTAAAGTTAAAAGGTTGTGCACTTAAAGTGTGGGCGACCTCAGAGAGAGGAGCACCCTGAAAGGTTGGGGGTTCCCCCTTTTAATGATTCCTTAGAAATGTGACTAAGGTCTGGTGGTCAAGATTTGTTAAGAGGTCCCTGAATACTTAGAACCAACTTAACCAACGAAGATCCTCCCCTGATTTCTCCCTGGGATCCCCGGCGTCTTGGTCTGGGAGCAGATCAAACAGGCTGGCTGCCCAGCCCCCACGGTGGGCTGAATTATTGTCTGTTTGCTAAAGAGTAAGTTAAGAATCTTACATTTTTAACTTCCTGCGTATTAAAATACAATCTTTAAGATGGAATACTTCCTGCCTATCAGTATGTTGTTTATGGCTGGGCCTGCATGCTAATTTAGTTGCATAGGTAAGAAAATACTTAATTAGGGCTGGAAGAAGAAAAAAACAGCATATAGTAAAGGTAACAAAATAAGCTGCGCCTGCATGATTCACACAACAAAGACCTGGGTTATGCTGAGGATATTATCTCAGATATCATCTGGGGAATATTCGAACATTCTAGGTCAATGAGACAAGGACTGTGGGTGTAGTCAGAGTAGGGTGAGGGCCTGGGGGGGGAGTGGGGAAAGCAGCGCGTAATATTTACAGTCAAAGCAATGTAACAATGGGCAAAGAAGTCACTATTGAATGTCTGTGCTAAGCATTATGCAAAGTCAAAGTCACACTAGTTCTGTAAGGAAAAGATATAGACATCTTCAGTGAGATCACTTAAAGGTCAAAAGGTCAGGAGCAACTTGGACTGGAATGCTTGAGTGTTCTGCAAGGGTATCAGCATAACTGGTGACTCCACTGTCAGCCCTGGCAACAGACTGTGACCCAGCCCACCTTGAGGACAGGGCAGGTGATGCAAGTCCACACCCCTAAGTTTTTTCATGTTCTCGAAAAATCCTCAACTACCTATAAAACCCCCTAGACAATGCACCACTACGGGCTCCCTTGTCCCCTCCTGGAGTGAGCCAGAAGCTCTATTCTGTCACTTTATTTCTAAATAAAAACCTTGCTCTCCTGCCTCAAGTGTTTGTGAAGCTCATTCTTTGGCTTCGTGGACAAGAACCCTGGTATCACCAAGTTGCTCCCGGCTTTTGAGATATATTAATTAATTTTGGGTCTATTTAGTGGACTTTCTGGCCTTTTTATCTTTCCACCCTGCTCATATCTATTTTCCTGCCTAACAGACAGAAATGAGTGGTATGGAAAAGAGAGACGGTCCCCCAAAGATGACTCAGGGAGTTGATCAGATAGAGCCAGAAAGCCAGAACTGACTCAGAGAGTTAATCAGATGAAGCCACAGGGTCCAAGAGTGACTCAGGAAATGTCCTGGGTCCCCCCAGACAAGAAACATCAGACGCACAGGCACAGCAGAGCCCCTGTCCCCATTTCACCAGTCTAGAGAACTGACAGCTGTCAACCAAAGACCTCTCTGCTCTGCCAACACCACAGAAAAGCACCCTCAGTGTGAGCATCATGGCCTGTCTTATCTTAGGGCAGGCCCGCTCTGTTGCTCTATGTGGAGTGTATTAAACTTTACTTTGCTTTCTTGACTTACTTCCTTGTCTCACTACATCTGACTTCCCTGTGACACCGAGCCGAGTCCTTTCATTCCTAACAGTTGTACAAGAGCCACTTCCCACCCATCCCAGAGCCAGCCTGGGGCCTATAAAAGACACCCCTGCTGCAGCATCTCCATCTGCTCTGACTCCACAAAGACAATTCTGTGCTCCATCTGTGAGCAGGGTGAGTGGGAAGCGGAGCCAGAGAGGGCGCTGAGCAGGATAACGGAGGAGTAGGCAGCTGGGAGAGGAAGAGCAGAAAATGGTAAGGAGGAGGAGGGAGGCTGAGCAGTGAAGTATTAGATTGCGGCCACACTTAAGCAGGAACAAAATTACAAAGAGGAAAAGATTGTACTGTGACCTAAGTGGTCATTGACACTGAGACAGGGACCACTGATGTAGTCAGAGTAGGGCGAGGGCCTCCGGAGGGGCAGGGCGGGATATTTGCAGTCAGAGCAATGTAACTACATGCAAGGAAACCCCCCCCCCACTAAAACTCTATGTTAAACATTAAGCTCTAGAATCATTCTTCAGTGAGATCAGTTAATGTTCCCCAGATAAAGAAGAGTAGCACATGTTTTATTATGCTAATCATTTGTAATCCTATGTAAGACTCACTTTAGGATACTAAAAGGCCCAGGCCTATGTGCTGTCTTTCCTCCTTCAGATATGATGAGGTTGTTTTTTAAACTGAGAGACTAACTTAGCATGCAGACCCAACTGTAGAATGCATGGTAAAACACAGGAGGAATTCCATCTTAAAGATGAGATTGCATTTTAACACCCAGGAAGTTCAAGAGGTAAGATTCTTTAGCAAATAGACAATACCTCAGCCACCTTAGGGGCTGGGCAGGCAGCCTTTTGATGTACTCCCAGAACAAGAAGCCGGCATCCCACAGAGAAATCAAGGCAGGAAATTCTTTATGTTGAGTCAATTTTTAATATTCAGGGACCACTTAACAAGTCCAAAACCCTAAACTTTTTCACATTCCCAAATATCCTCAGCTGCCTATAAAATCCCTAGACAACGCACCACCATGGACTCTCTTGTCCCCTCCTGGCGTGACCCGGGAGCTCTGTCCTTTCACTTTATCTCTAAATAAAAGCCTGTATCTTGCTCTCCTACCTTGAGTGTTTGTGAAGCTCATTCTATGGATTCATGAACAAGAACCCCAGCATCATATTTGGGGGCTTGTCTGGGATAACTTCGGAGATGAGTATCAGCATCCAAGCCTGCCTTTTCTTTCACTGTCCCTGTAAAAGGAAGCTGTCTGTGGCACACAGCATTGGGCGCTCGCCAGCCACTTAAATGGGACTAGCCTGGCTGCTGATCTCAAAGTCTTGAGCGACAGGGTCCCCTGCGTCTCCCTCAGTGGATCCCCCATATCCCTTGGGAGCCAGGAAAGTCAGCTGAGTGGAGGCCAGGATTCCCCTTCAGAGGCATCTCCTTGGATGCGAGGGACTGAGGAAAGCCATGGGCAACTGCGAGAGTCTAGGCTGAGGCTACACTTCTGCGGCTTTTCAAAGGCCCGCGTGTCTGGAATCAGACCCCAACAGCCCAACTGGGTATCCTGAGGAGTGCCTCTTTTTCTGTCTCTGACTTCCAGCCTGCTTCTTCAGGCCGCCCTGGACTCAGTGAGGCAGGAGGCGTTCCTAATTCCATAACTCCCTTCTAACTTCTTCAATTTCACGGAACCAGATGCTCACCGTCGCAAGGTAGGAGAACTACACTTCGCTCTCACTCCTGACTAAATGCTGTACTTTTTATCTCATAAAAATGTGTCTGGGCACTCGTTAGCCACTTAAAAGGTGATTAGCATTGGCTACCAGTCTTAAGTCTCGGGTGAAAGGTTTCCTGGTGTCTGCTGCTCCTTGATCCCCCACCTCTGGATGAACAGGAGTGTCAGGGAGTGGCTGAGCAGATTTCCTACTTTCCTACCCTAATCTGTGGACTCTGACAGCAGACTGGACTAGTAGACAGTGGTCCTGAGATCTTGGCTCCAGACGATTGATCCAACGGCACTGAGTGAACCTCCTGCTTGGCTGCTGCCTATGCAAGATGACACCTGACCTCTTGTCTCAGAGATAAGATTTCTTACAGTGGGTGACTAGTGGCATAATTCCCAGGAAGTGGCAGAAACTGTTGTTTGAGAGTATAGACCCTCCCCCATAAGTGTCCATGGCAGCCCCTGAATTTTATTTCTGGCCTTAACAAAAAGTTCCCTTGCTCCCCATTCAAAGCAGTCCTCTTAGGCCTGTGCCACTTTCTCCTGTGTAATGTAAATGAAGTCTGCAAAGTGATCAAGCTGAAACCTGAGACCAACATGTAAATGGCTCCATTCTATTGATGTCCTTTCCTTAGAGGCAGTCACCCTGGGGCTAGGCATTTCCTTTTCTGCAGCCCCAGGGAAAGCAAAACAGGCTTGTGACTTAGATCAAGGCTCTGGCAGCAAGAAGTCACACTGTCCCTGCGCTTATCAGACAGGCAGGGGGCTCTCAAGGAAAACTCATGTAGAGAAAACTAGGGAAACTCCCAAAAGGCATAAGTAGGAGCACACTGGTAAGGTCCCACTAAATCCAGAGCTCCGAGGTGGCTCATGCTTAGTGGGAAGGCAAGAGGGGAATCGAGGCAAGGTGCAGGCCATGATGGTAAGGGGTGGTTAAATCCAGTAGGCCTGGCAGAGGGCGTGATTGACCACTGTCACCTAAGCTCCAAGGCGAGGGGACGCCATCACGGAGAGAGAGGCTGATCAGGTGCTTGACACCCATCTTTCTCTCTCTCTTTCAGATGGGAGCATCCTCTTCAAGGTTAAAGCCAGACATGCTTCTGGCATACATTCTGAGGAACTGGGAGCAATTTGATCCCCAAACCCTGTAAAAGCAGTGCCTTATCTTCTTCTGTACACAAGCCTGGCCTCAATACAAACTCTCTGATGGAGAGTCTTGACCCTCTGAGGGAAATATGCTATATAATAAAGATTAACTTTGCCACAAAGAAGGAAAATGGTCAGAAGTCCCTTAGGGAAAGTAAAAGACTATGCCAAAAAGGTGGATTAATTCCAGACCCTACTCCAAACCCTAATTGTCCCCCATTAGCTCTGCCATGCCCACCTTATCCAGATCTAAGTCCACTTGCCAAGAACCTCAGAAGTCAGACCACAGGAGAACTACCACCCCAAGCATCCTTGCCCCAATCACCCCTCCAGGCTTCCAAGGTGGTGAAGAAAAGACAGTTATACCCATCCTTATTGCCCTTATGGGAAGTAGTCAATGGAGAGTGGGGACTGGCTTTGGTCCATGTCCCCTTTTCCCTCCAAGACCTGAGGCAAATTAAACAAGACATGGCTAAAATTTCAGACGACCCAGACAAATACATAGAAGACTTCCAAGGGCTTACTTTAACTTTTGAACTGGCTTGGAAGGATGTTATGCTTCTATTAAATCAAATCCTCACTGCAGGAGAGAAAGAAAAAGTATTCAGAGGAGCCTTAGAGTTTGGAGATGAATGGTATACTACAAATGTGAGTGGCAAATCTCCAGAAGAGCTCACCTGAGTCCCCACTGGCTGTCAGGCAGTGCCATTCACTGACCCAGAGTGGGGCCAAGATACAGATGATGCCGATAACTGGTACAGGAACCACATTATAACTTGTATTTTAGAAGGGCTGAAAAGAGCACGAGTAAAACCTATAAATTAGTCTAAATTATCAGCCATGATGCAGGAAGAAAAAGAAAGCCCCTCAGCCTTCCTGGAATGGCTCAGGGAGGCACTACTGAAGCACACATATGTCCCCAGAGGGCCAAGTCATTCTCAAAGATAAATTCATCACCTAATTGGCCACAGATATCAGGAGGAAGTTACAAGAATTGGCATATGGCCCAGAGCAAAATCTGGAAAGCCTCCTGAATGTTGCCACATAAGTTTTCTATAAAAGAGACAAATATGAAGAGAGGGACTGAGACAGGAGAGATAACTTGTGACTTAGAGGCATTAGTGATAGCCTTATAGAGAGTCAACTTTGGGCCTCCAAGGTTAGAGAAAAGGAAACCAGCCCCACAGAGTGGGCCCCGGGCAGCCTGTTAACTCTGTGGCAGAGAGGAGCATTTTAAGCGAGAGTGCCCTATGGATGGTGCTCCAAACCATCAATGCCCTGCCCACTCTTTCAAGGAGACCACTGGAAGCAGGATTGACCTCAGAGGCATAGGCAACTGGGGTCAGACTTCCAACCATGTGGTCAGGACTGAAGGGGCCCGGGGCCACCCGTCCTGGCTTCTGTCACCATCATAACCCCACAGGAGCCCCGCATGGTTCTCTCTATAGGAGGCCACACCATCAATTTCCTGCTCGATACAGGAGCCGCCTATTTGGGCCTCCTCCATAATCCCAGCCCTCCCTCCCTCCTCCCAGTCAGCTACTGTTAGAGGCATATCTGGGAAGCCCAGGACCAAATATTTTACTCAGCCTTTAAGTTGTGAATGGGACTCAGTGCTATTTTCACATGCCTTCCTAGTAATCCCAGATGGTCTGACACCGCTTCTAGGCCATGATATACATTCTAAAGTAAAAGCCTCTGTACATACTAATGCAGAAAAAGATAAGCAAAATCTTCCCCTAGTGGAAGTAGTCATTAACCCTGAAGTCTGGGCAACTAATGTAATCATTGGAAAAGTGGTGGTAGCCATGCTGCTCAAGCTGTGTAGCAAAGCTCAGGCTGGAGGAAGACCCCCACAAAGCAGGGGCCTTTGCAGCTGGCTCCCCCTATTACCCACCTTGATTTTGTTATTCTCCATTATACTATTGGCTTTGCTTTTGCTTGTATTGTTGCCAAGGGCTAGGCTAACCTTTGATAAGCAGCATGGAAAGGAGGAGAACATACTCTTCCCAAAAGCTTTTCAGGACAGTGAACATGAAGAATAGAACATGCAGGGGCCAGATGATGATCTTGGCATGGATACCAAAACCTGCAGGGAGGTAGTCAATCATTGACTACCCCATCTCCACCTAAGTGGGAATGCCCCCCTTGTTTGCATGCTAGTGAAATTAGTGATGAAGAGTTTTATAGGAAAATTAGAGAAATAGAGTTATGGGGGAATACTGAATGGAATAACCCTGTCTGATACTTAATCCATCTTCCCATGTTTTCTTCCATCTGCTACTTCTATAGCTTTTCTTCTTCCTTCCTAATTACAGCACTTTACTAGAATTAGTGCCTCATATGTGAAATTATCAAGTACCATAATTCTTCCAAGTGGTAAAGATACCTCAAGACAAGTGTTGGGCATAGAAGCCACGGGGCATACATCTGTAAAGAAGTGCAAAGCTAACCTTTTCAAAGAATATTACTTCTCTCTCACTTACCAGGTTTACATCTCCCTGTATGGCCCCAGAAGATGGCTGGTTAGCCAGAGACAGGTAAGATTCCTCAAGGGAGGAATAAAATAAGACAGGAACAGTCACAGGTGAGCCATCAGGGGAGAAAATGGGGGCCAACAGAGGTGAGGCTTACAACCTCGCACCCCCAGTTTTGAGAGAAATTATCTACACCCATGGATGTTTTGTTGCCCTTGTCTAACTTAGATTAATACCTAGTCTATAGGCACAGACCTGATCATCTACACTTGCCTTCTTACAGCACTAAATCGTGCTTTCTATCTTTATCTTGCATCTACCTATGATAGAATAAATACTATGAGGGGATAAAATGTACCCATTGCATTAAAAATATAGATGATGATACCTGCCTAGCTAACTGTGGCAGTGGGTTACCTGTATTTCACCCTGAGCTGATAGACTCCATAGTCACTGCTACATACTGCACGCTCCTGTGGTCACATCCACTACTTAGAAATTGCATTGCATATGCACATAAAACACGATACTGTACATGTTGCTAGGAAACCATTAGGGCAAGAAACCAAAAAAAGATCACCTAACACTTGACTAACCATGTATAGATTAGAAAGAAAAAAGCTTGCCTATGCTTCTTAATCAAAAGAACAAATAAAAAACAATCATATCCTTGTGCAAAATGGTATAAATAAAGATGCCATCGGCACTTTGTCGAGAGACCACCTCCATCCGACTCTGTGTCCTTTCTCTTCTTTCAGGCAACAACCCCCCATGGGAGCTGGACTCAGGCAGAAAAGCAAAATCAACCCAACCAGTACAAGTCCATCTTAAAGACCCTTATTGCTTCCCTCATAAAAGGCAGTATCCCTTAAAACCAGAAGCTCGTGAAGGTTTAAAGCCAATTATTAATGACTTAAAGGCTCAAGGCCTCTTAATAGCCTGTAACAGCCCTTGCAATACTCCCATATTTAGAGTACAAAAGCCAGATGGAAGCTGGCACCTTGTACAAGACCTGCGAGCCATTAATGAGGCAGTTGTGCCCCGATGTCCTTTAGTAGCTAATCCCTATGCCCTATTATCCAGGATTCCTGAGGGAGCAGCATGGTTCATTGTGCTAGACCTAAAAGATGCTTTCTTTTGTATCCTTCTTGCACCTGAGTCCCAAATTCTCTTTGCTTTTGAAGATCCTATAAATCCCTCAGCCCAATTAACCTGGACAGTCTTGCCCCAAGGATTTAGAGATAGCCCACATCTATTTAGGCAAATCTTAACTAAAGACCCAGCTTCCTTTAATTCAGGGGAAGCAGAAACCATCCAATATGTGGATATACTGCTCTGTGCCATCACTAAAGCATAGCGTCAGGAAGGTACTCAGAAATTACTAAACTTTCTAGCTGACTGTGGCTATAAAGTCTCCCAAAAGCACAGATCTGTGAGCAGCAAGTAAAATATTTGGGCCTTAACCTCTCTCAGGGAACCAGAGCCCTGGGAGAAGAGAGAATATAACCCATTCTCTGCCACCCATTACCCTCTACTATCAGGCAACTGTGGGGACTTTTGTGCACCACTGGATATTGCAGAATTCAGGTCTCCAGATATGGAGAGTTAGCCAAACCCCTCTACCAACTCCTTAAAGAAGCCCCAAAGGAAGGCACCATAAAACTCCAGTGGGAACCTGATGCCATTAAAGCTTATGAAGCTTTGAAGAAAGCCCTACTTCAGGCCCCGCCTTAAGCCTGCCCACCGGAAACCGGTTTAACCTGTTCGTTACTGAGGGATCAGGAGTGGCACTGGGAGTACTGACTCAACCTCGAGGAGAAATGCAGCAGCCCATAGCCTATCTAAGGAAAGAGCTGGACCCAGTAGCTACGGGCTGGCCACACTGTGTGAGGTCTGTGGCAGCCGTAGCCCTGCTATACCTGAAGCCACAAAGCTGACCCTGGGGAAAGATTTAATAGTGCAGGCACCCCATAACATCACCAGCTTATTGAACACCGGGGGGACCTGTAGCTGTCAGATAGCAGGCTACTAAAATATCAGTCGCTCCTCCTTGAGGGCCCTGTCACCCAGCTTCGGACATGCTCCACCCTGAATCCAGCTACCTTTCTACCTGAATCCATGAGTAAAGGACCTGAGCATGACTGCCAGCAGGTCCTTGCCCTAAACTATTCTGCCAGAGAAGACCTAAAAGACAGCCCCGTAGGGAGCCCAGAGTTGTCCTCTTCACAGACGGCAGCTCCTTTACTGAACAAGGCCAGTGGAAAGCTGGCTATGCAGTTGTCACTCTCTGGGATACTACCGAGTGCCAACCATTTCCACCAGGCACGAGTGCCCAGCTGGCAGAATTAATAGCCCTCACTCGGGCCATTGAAATAGGAAAAGGAAAAAGAGTCAATATATATATATATACTGACTCGATGTATGCCTACCTAGTGCTGCATGCCCATGCAGCCATATGGAAAGAAAGAGACTTTAAATTCTGAAGGTTCCCCTATCAAATACCATAATGAAATTAACCAGCTATTACAAGCTGTGCATTTGCCTAAAGAAGTAGCAGTTTTCAGTGCAGAGGCCAGCAGAAAAGAATAGATGAAATAACAGAAGGAAACAGGCGAGCTGATACAAAAGCCAAAGAGGCAGCTCGAGAAACTTATAAGGCACCTATCCAAGCCCTCTCTTATGGACAGGTGTGCCGGCTAATATTATCCCCAGCTAAAGTAAAAAGGAGCTGCAAGATGGCCTCTCCAAAGGCGGTTCTCTCCTTCCCTCTGGTTGGCTTCAGACAGAAGATGAGGAAGTTTATTTACCTCAGAGTACAGAATGGAAAGTTCTTAAAACTTGACACCAGACTTTCCATTTAGGTATAGAAAATACCTATCAGATGGCCAAAAGTATTTTTTGCAGGCAGTAGTCTATTAAAGAAAATAGAGCAAATCACTAAAGCCTGTGAGATCTGTCAAAGAAATGACCCACTAAATAAAAAAGCCACTCATCCTGGGTTACAGCGAGCAGGCAGATACCCAGGAGAAGACTGGCAAATAGATTTCCAGATATTCCAAAGGCAAAAGGACTCCAGGATCTCCTCGTGTGGATAGATACATTCACAGGATGGGTCGAGGCCTTCCCCTGT